ATTTTGACGACTTATCATCAGATTTAACAGATGCAATCTTATATATTGAGTCGATTCAAGAATATTGATAGTTGTACTGGTTTTTCCACTAAAAAAAAATGATTCAATATAATATCTATTGACTACATCGTCCCAAATGAAAGTATTTCTATCTTGATCAGTTATCTCTGAATAGGCAAGCTCTATACGATAGTGCACGGGTGTCACGTAATAAGGTGAACGTACATCCTTTGGAACTCTAAAATTGTTTACTTCTTTACCATTGAGAGTAATTATTGCTATGATAAATATTACGGTGCTACTTATATGTGCTATGTTCATGTTGCCTCGGTTGCCGTTCTAAATACATACCAGGAAGTTTTAAAAAAATTATAGAATACTAATGATGATCAATAAAAAAGCAATGCACATAGCTGGCTGTGATTACATCGAGAGAGGTTATTGAAATCTTTATCTTATTGTAATTATAATTATATTAATGCAACATTAAACATTCTTAATTTTAGTAATATTTCTAGCACTGTTGTGTTTATGTTAAAAATATTGTTACACCAATGATAAATTCTAAAACGTTTTTATTTCTGATTTTAACAAACTGATTTTATTGGATATGTGCGTTGCTTTTTATTGATATTTTAAAGTCTTATGAATGCCTTACGAATGATTACAAAAAATTTTACTTTATAGTGTAACATTTTTTTAAGGCAAGTTAAATTTAAATTAAAATACATATGAATATTTTACAAACAGCTAAAGTTACACTTTGTAGCATATTATTTTTATAAAGTACCTTACAAAACAGTATTAAAATAAATATATTTTACTGCATTAAAGAAATAAAACTTTTGAAAATGTTTGAAGAACATAATTTGAAGCTATCGTTTAATTCAATCTTTACGTACATATTCTTAAACAGGTAATGTTTAGTCAAAAATCAAATAACATTTTCTCCATTATTTCCATTATTTAAAAAATAATCGAACGTGCATGCTACAAATAAAATATTATATTTTTAGAAACTTACCCTGTGTAATAAAATCGTACTATAAAGATATAATTCTGACTGCCAATTGATATGTTTAACAATTGTAACAAAATAAAATATAGATTGTGGTAAAACGTTTCTGATAGCTGCTACCTTTCTCTTTTGAAAAGTCAAAACAGACTAATATCATCGACAGCAACATACACAATAAATACTTAGATAATAAATACAAAATGTTATTTAAACAGTTTCTTTTAATGTACACATTCTATATTGGTCAACGTAATTTATATTATGTTGAATATAATAAAATGTTCGGTAAAATTTTCTATAATTTCCTACACTTTCCTCATGGGTGTATATAATCTGCATTATGAAAATGACAATAAGAAAGAGAAGAAGAATGAGATCTCTTTGTTCTGAAGTCAATCAATACGCTTAAAAAGTTTTTCATATATGAAATATATGAAATATAGGCTCAAAATGGTAAACATAACAATAATTGTGTCTAGCAGTAGGTGCTCGATCTTGCAAGAAAAATGGTATTGTGCAGATATATAAGATAAAAGCGGATGTATCTCGGTGAGAAATGACAATCGAGTCGACATCGAATCGACGACGAATCGACGTGGATTCGACATCGATTCCATTGTCATTTCTCACTGGGAAGTGTGATAAAAGTGACAAAGTATAATGTAAAAAATAAATTAAAGATATCATTTTTATTAACATTTTGAATTTAGAATTAGAAATTCTGTACATTGATCATGTTCGGCCGTTTACTTCAACCCCGCCCAAAGAGAATCGAGAGAGAGAGAGAGAGAGAGAGAGAGAGAGAGAGAGAGAGAAGCGGAGAGTTTTCTTTTCTCTGATTGGTTCCATCATTTATATAGCGACGCCACTGTGACGTAGGCCTACGTCATGCGCATCACGCTACGGGGACCGCACGGCTCGGAGCACGGCCGCTTGCGCAGTAGACGATCGCCACGCCGTGATAATTGATATACCGTCTTTCCGCCTTCGTAGTTGAATTCTCACCGGTTCAAACCGTTCGCGACAAGTACGTGCAATATTCGTTTCCGACAGCGACGGGGGATTATTTGTGCGTGAGATAATGCGTGCGGAAGTCGGATTTACTTGCGACCTTGTCGACGAATGTTCTCGATCGCCTCTTTCGTGCTTTTCGTTGCGATCGAGCACAGTGGAATCGCGAAGTTAGCCGCGTTCGCGGAATATCGGAGGCTAAATGAGGTGAGAATCTTGCGTTTCTTTTCGACATGGCTCGTCGAAATTATATGAATATATATTTTAGCGCGTATATCGAGTCTCATGTGTATGTGTAATGTGCTTCAGGTGCAGTAAAGGGAGAAAACGAAAGCGGAGGGTGCCTAGCCAATGGATCTTCAAAGTGTCCAGTAACGGCCGCGAATGAACTTTCCGTCTTCACCGTTCGGACACAAAGGCAAGACTGAGTAATTGGATCGGATTTGTCAAGTACGCATTTCATTTTTTACTCATTATGTGTCGTCTTACCATTCGAGATCGTATTTTAGTCGGTAGGTCATACAGTCCGTCGAAAATTGTGCGCGTTGTGACGCTGTTTTACGGGGTTCACGAGACTCGTAGAACGGCTGCTCGCGCAAACGTATAGCGTCTTTCGTCGTCAATTTCGTCAATTCAAACGCGCGAGTGCGACAAGTGTCTGCGATGCTTGTTCGGGACGACGCGGAATTGATCGTGCGTAAAACAATGCGTGTGGCAGTTGAAGTGGTTCTTTTAAACGTAATTAATAATTATTCGCGTGGGGTATTTTTGATATTCCAACATTATGTCTCAATTTTTATTATTCCTTTTAATGCTTCATATTTAAATAAAGGTTGATAGAATATTCTATATATGTTCCTTAAAGATACACATTTCCTTGCATGTATCTTTATATAAAGAACATATACAGAATATTTTATCAATCTTTATTTAAGTATGAATCATTAAAAAGAATAATGAAAATTGAGACATAATGTTGGAACATCAAAAATATCCCACGCCAATAATTACTAATTACGTTTAAAAGAAGATTGTGCTAGAGATGCCACAAATCAAAACGCGAAATGTACGGCGATACCCGTTTGTCAAAATCGTGTAAAATACGAATAATTGAAGAAGCCGTGAATATTTTTCATACGCAATAATTGGGTATCTGAACGGCGCCCGCGGAGCAACGAGGGGACGGATCGCGCGACGAAAAGCAAGGGGGAGCGGGTCGCGCGACGAAAAGCGAGGGGGAGCGGGTCGCGCGGCGCCGTGGTCGATTACGTCATCACTTCGGTATGCGCTCGGCGAGGGATCAACCACTACTTAAAAAATGTACAGTGAGTGCTAATTATGGCAATACAATATTTTATTGCTAGCATTGCTATTGTAATGTTAGTATTGTTTTCGTATTGCCAGCAATACTGCTTATTCCTAATATTTTTATTTTATTATTAGTATTGTCACAGTATTGCCAGTATTGCCAGTATATATGGAATTATATTAATATAAAAAAGGTGGCCATACGGATATGATTACCATAAGCTTCAGAATAACTACAAAAATGCTCTATTTATAAAAATTATTAGAGAAATTACAACCTATATGGCCATCTTATCCGTATGGCCATAATATGGTATACCCAAGTTTACTCTAAAGTTATGGGATTATATTAAAATAAAAATATAAATTCTTTATAGAAACATAATGAATAATAATATAAAATAATAATTAATTATTTTTGAACTTTTAAATTTTTTTTTAATTTCTGCACGTACTTTTTTATTAATTGTGAATGGATTTGTACCATTTAAAATTATCGGTCCATGTATTACAAATCTTTTATCAACTTCTTGAATATCATCTTTTTTTGGCCATTTGAATTCATCTTAAATTAGTACACAAAAATTTAATTTTGCACATAGTTTGTTTTACATGTAACACCTTTCCTATATACCATCCTGTATCATAATAAATAGAACAATATTTTTCGCATTCAATCTTTAACTCTTCACTTAATGTTTCGTTCATAACATTCTCAACATTCATGTTCATACCACGAACTCGATATAATCTATCATTAGATAATCTAGCTTTATTTTGATACTTGGTATTATAACCAAGGTATAAACTGATCAGTTTTTCTTTCTCGTAATTTTTCAATCAATAATCATAAACCATGTGCATTTAATTCTATACTTGTGTAGGCATTAGAAGTTATAAAATTTTTATCAATGCTATAGTTGTTTTCTTGCAACCATCTTCTCCACAATCTACGGTCACATTGGGAAATTCATGTTACATTTTGGCGTGGGAGAAATAATGGGCCAAACATGCACAAGTACACCATTTTTTATCGTATTAACTTTAATCTTGATTAATATAACGATTTTGAATGTACATCTCACTATTTGAAAAGCAACATAATATTTATATTTTTATTCGATATTTAAATATGTAAAAGTAATTTTTTCTATAAATTTTTAATCTTTTTGTAATATAAAATTATATACATATAGGTTTCATATATCAATTAATATTTAAAAAAAATCATTGTTATTTATTTTTAAATAATATAAACTTCAATGACTGACATACCGTTTATTTTTTTCTAATTCTAATTATAAGAATTAGAAGAAGATAAAGGTATTCATAGTTGATTCTTATATTTAAAATCGTCTTTTTTTTTAAGATATATCATAAGTCAATCACAGAGTCAAGTTTTAGCATCTTAAAATATTACTTGATGATCTTGAAATAAGAACGAACTACGAATACCGATCAAAGAGTAAATTAAAGCAAAATTAAAGTTTATCTATAAGATAGAAATGAACATTAATCGTAATTCTCAAAGAAAATCAAGGACCAATTATAGTTGATCGACATTGAAGAAATTAATCATCAAAGATATTTCAGAGATCTCTAAAAGTTCTTAATATTTTTTGTATTCTTCAGAGATCTCTTAAACATCTTATGAATTTTCATACTACTCGGATTCCAAAGTTTCATTTTTTAAAGCTTTGTTTTGCACAATTCTGGATTCGTTTCCGTCACTTTCACCAGTGTGCTCGTCGATCAATCCTCCGAGTACTGCTTGAACGTACTCCTCGCGACCTTCATTGGTATCTAAAGAGAATCCCAGAGAAGGAACAAACTCAGTTTCGATGGTGGTTTTTACGGATTCCGTCGTTGTAGTTGTCGTGGTCGTTGTTGTCGTCGCTCTTGTAGTAGACACTGGACTTTCCTTTTTCGTTTCGTTAGTTGCATACTCGCTCTCTTCTATCGGCAAACCGGTTTCGAAATTCAAACTTCTCTGCACTTGCGGCAGATCGAAGACGAGTGGTCTATGGATCAAATCACCGTGATAAATAGGCTTTCCGAAGTTTTCCGTCAATTGTTCTAAGATTTCCTCCTTTTGAAGTGGTCGAGCGATCTTGTTTTCTGGTTTCGATTGACCTGTCTTCTGTTCCGTGACATTGTTAAAACTGATTTTCGAAAAAACATTCGGCGGCTTTAAATCAACGTTAATAGGTGTTTCCGAAGTTTCATCCAAGAAAGATGTCTTAGAATCTGTATTTTCGAACGGCGTTCTGGCTCGTAAATAATCCAATGGGCTCCCTGTGGCTAAGGATGGTTTATTAAAACGTAAATTCTGTGGTGATTTCGATTCAGCGGATGTTTTCAACGTTGATGCTTTAGAACTCGTGTTCTTGTACGTCGTTCCGATTTGCGGATAATCCAATGGTGGACTGGTTGTGTCGTACGATGATTCATCAAGGTCCAGATTAAATGAATTCTTTATACTACTTAAATCTTTCGTCGAAAATGGCCGCGGCAGTCGATCTAATTTTAACAACTCCGCCATCAATTGGAGAAGACTCACCATACTCATATTCGAATCCGATTGTTCAAATTCACTGGCTGTATCGTTTTCAGCAACGTAAAAACTATCATTGCTCGCGTTATTTGGAGAGGCATGACTAGTATCAGGAAATTTCGACGTCTGCAAAATGCTACTAATTTCCGTTTCTGATGGCTCGACAGATTTGACAATTTCGAAATCATTCAATTCATCCTTCAAAAGGGAATCCGATCGCTGATGCTGAGCAATCAGTCGACTAATAAAATCGTCAGCAGTCGTCTCTAGATCGTCGTCTTTTTTTACTGTGTATGATACTTCATATGGAGAATCCTGTTTATCAATCATCTCCTCGATTTGCTTAAAGGATCCTGGACGGATCGAGGATGACAGATTACTCACTGTCGTTTCCACCGTCTTTTCTATCTTCTTTTCAGGATTTTTAATTTCTAATATGGCTCTCGGCGTAACCGTCTTCAAAGTTGTACTATCTATATTAATATCACTATTAATCGATTTCGTGGTAAATGTCGAAGATTTGTCGTGAACAGATGTTACTGATTCTTCGGACAATTTTAAACTCTTCGTACTTTCAGGCAATTTTAGATTCTTCGAATTATCCGAAAAAATTAATTGATCCGAAATCTTCGTAGTCGCTTTTGTACCAATCGAAACTATTCTTTCGTTTACACTTGGCGTAGAAACTGCAATTTTAGGAGTGCTAGAACTCGTTTCGCAGCGGCCTCCTTGCTTGTCAGAGATTGAAGAGCATCTGAAATTTTCATTCACTTCCTTTTGAGTCTTGGTAGCGTCTCTAACGGTGAACTGAAATCCCGTGTTGTACTGGGCCAAGATGTTCGCTTCACTGTCGTTCTTCTTTGAGTTCTTTGTTGTCAGAGAACTCTGCGTTCTTTGTGAGTCTACGGGTTCTGTGTAATCCAATTGTTCTGTATAATTTTCATTTGGCGGGGCAAAGCCACCGAATTCATCACTGTAGTCGATAATCGGCGGAACTATATCAGTCACAGGAACATCAACAATCGACCGATCATGCCATGTAGAAACGAGCCATGGAATAGCCGTAGATATTTCAGCGATCACTTGAGCAGTCGAATGAATCCCTGAACTAGGCGTCTCTAAAAAGCTTTCATCTGTATAATCAATCAGCTCCTCGTCGTATATTGGCGATTGATCCTCGTTGTTTCCAACAAATGTGCTGGAAAATCGTGGAGTTTCTGTGATCGTCGTCTCAGGGCTCCAGGAAGTCTTAAAATTCTCATCGATCGTCGTGTAGCGTGTTTCTTCAGGGACGTTGATAAGAAAACTCCTTTGTTCCAGTGGAGGCTTCAAAAATTGCGCTGGTTCAGGAACCTCGAGGCTAAGATTTATTCTGGGAATGGACTCGTGGTTGAAACTGGAATCTGATCTAATCAAGTTCTGGTCCTCAGCTGTGCGATTATCGTTAGATGAAGAGTGAATAATTCCGCCATGAATCTCATCGATGCTTCTCTCAGTCGTATTTATTACAGATGTCGCAGTCATCGATGTGGTCGTCACTTGCACAGCGTCAACGTCTTTCTGTTTCCAATTTTTCAACAGTGGAATCGTCCCGTGAACAAAACTCCTCGTCGTCAAGCTTGAGATATCCTCGTAATCTTCTGTCGATCCATCGTCGCTCGTTTCGTTGAAGACATCCGACTTTTTCAGGTTGTCTGATAAATTCACATCATCCACTTTCTCATAAGATCCCGAGGAATGATTTAAAACTGTATGCAATGGAATAGGAGTGGTCGAATCTTTCCGTTCGTCTTTTGTCACCTGGTATATAGGATTTTGATTTTGTATAATTCTGCGAAGTGGATTATTCAGCGCTCGAGCGATTCCTATACTATCTTTTGCATCCAAACTATCTTCTAAGCTCTCCTCGCTATCATACTGAATTATCGGCTTGTCATTCTGCTGTCTAAATACTTCATCTTCGTCAATGGCATCAGTTACGTTAATCCTGAAATTCGTCTCCGACATCTCCTCGAGACGGACTTCATCATTCTTGAAATGAACATTGTCGCCTTTTCGATCGTCGATTATCGATGACGAAGCATTCTCCGATTTCTTCAGATCGTGTCCCGTTTCACTCTCTCTCAAATCAATCTTCCTTATGTCGTCATTCCGATGAGTAATCGTAGGAGGGGTCACCAGGCTTTTGCTCTGCGCATAAAGGTGATCGGAGCTATCCACCATCAGATCCAGCTTGCTATAGGCCAATGTGGAAGGTCGATAGGTCGTTGGGACCGTAGGCGAATAGAATCTTCTGGTGGTAGTGGTAACAGTGGGAACAGTAGGCGCGTACGACGTCTGTAACTGATTGGTAAATCCGTCGGGTCCATGATAGTCGTCCTGAAATTTGTTACCACCAGATCTATCTTGATAATCGTGCTGAATGATCGCGGACGCGTGATAAGGCGATTGCCCCTTGTTTTCGAGGAGCTTGCCTTGATACGGAACATTCACTTTCTTCTGCTGATAATGAAGATCATAGTTGAAAATCTGCTGCGCGTCTTGTTGAGGATAATCCTCGAAACCGCTCGGCAGGTCGTTTCCAGTCGCCTCAACGGGCACATAATCCGTGATTCTACGGAATCCGGGCGTATAGCCCATCACGGGCCTACCACCGAGCGTGGAATAGTCGATGATCCTGGCGCCGCTGTCAGGATCCACCAGACCGTCCTTGGTGACATCCTCCGCAGAGGCTTGAAGACTGATCATCGCGTAAGCGTTGCGAATCATCTCGTCGTCGTCGATCTGATAGCTATTGCGATTCACTTCGAGGTATCGCTTGGTGGAAGAGCAGTCGACCTTGGTCCACCAATCGCAGGTCAGCAACTTTTGACTAAAAGTTGAGCCGATCGGGCATAGAAAGGAGGACACCAATACGTCATGGCACACGTGGAAGACTTGGCAGCCGGCCGCTTCGTCGGCGTAGTAACCTGTTGAATAATCATCGAATAATCGTACAAGCGAATTTTCGAATTACGATTTTTATGTACATTTCTTATAATTTATCTGAGAATAATATAATATTCTATTTTTTTTTAAATTATATTATGTAAAATAATCATAATATTATGATTTCTCAAAAATGCCAAAATGAAAGATTATAAGTCTCGCGGTGAAATTTGTATCAATATTAATCCTGTAACATTTTATATAAAACTCGTATTTTTAATAGAAAATATATACTAGAGAAAATTATTTTTGCAGGATAACTATAAAATGTAATTATAAAATTTACTTAAAACAATTTAGAAGCAAAATTAAATTTCTTTGTACGCGCACATAAAACGTACACAGAAAAAAGACTATTCTTAAATCAACCATAATATATTCATATATAAGCAAAAATATTATAATCTTGCTTCAAAGATATCAATCTTGGTTTGATTAAATTTGTTTTGATGCAAGTATTGCTTTGCACTTAATTCAAGATCAATTAAAAATCTTATATCAATACAAATTAAATCAAATCAAGATTGATATCTTTGAATAAAGATTATAATACTTTTGCTTATATATGAATATATTATGGTTGATTTAAGAATAGTCTTTTTTTCTGTGTAAATGAAATAAATATTCAATATCTCTTTTTAATATTAAAATAATTCAGAAATAAATAGTGAGCATATGTATTCGACAAAGTTAATTAAAAGTAACAAAACATACATGTTATAATTTCGCACTCAACGATGTAATTGTGTTATGCAACATGTGTTATGTATATTACATTATATTGTTGAGTGCGAAATTATAATATTAAATGTTATGTCACTTTTAGTTTGTGTCAACTGGGTGGTAATTGGATTATGATCGAGCGACTTTATAAATAAATATTCACGAGGATTAGAAATTCGTTATGTATGATATAATTATGTATATTTTATTTATGTAACAACTGTACGTCGTCTCTCCAACGTGCGGTGTATTTTTTGTGCACTTCATCTTTCTCTCGGTGGATTATCTAATGTCTGTGGTCAAGAAACGTAGCTGAGACAACGCAATATCACGGAAAATTAAATAAAAATATATGTACAACGCGTGCTCTTACTTATAATCGAATGATAGTTCTTTGGTGCATCTATTCAATTTAACAAGAAATCATTTAATAGAAAGGAAGTAGAAAGTGATTTTTTATTTTAGAAATCTTACTTTAAACTAGACAACTGCCAGACAAAATAAAATTACATTAGTGATTTTATAGGATTTCAATTACTCAGTTACGTTATGATATATGAAAGCATACATATATCTGTTTAATATGGCTTACCTATATAAGTTGCAATAAAATTTGCAAATTACGGTTTTGCTTTCATACATGAAATTATTTCATTTTCTTAATTAAAAACTTAATTCTTGATTCAGTGATACAATTTTATCAAACTAAAGGATATTGTGTATGTAGAATACAATACAATTGAAAGTTTTCAGTATAAATATGAATGAGGTAAAAGATAAAATACAAAATTTTTACTGGAATTTATTCTAAATTTAAGAATATATATTGAGCATATATATATTGCATAATGCGAGTTTAAAATTTTGCATAAAATAAAGAGAGGGACGATGATTTCATGCACGCAGAATAGAAACGTTCATGCATTTAACAAAGCTATCAATATGTCATAACGCATAATAATAAGTGAAATGGTATATGACCAGCCGACTACATAATTTATTCATGTATATTTACCACGTGAACGTCCTTCACACGTGAATCCTGTCTGAGGTAATGTCATGTAGGCGGGATAATCGATCCCCGGCTCACCCGGCACATTTTTTCTGATGTCAGATAGATCTGAAAGAAAAAGAAAGAGTGAGACGTAGCAGATTCATTACCCTACGGCAAATCAAGCATGCCATTTAGGAATTATTTTCAAATTGATGAGCTCTCTAGAAATAATAGTTTTCCCAATATATAATCGTTAACGGAGCTGCATAATTTATACGATTTTTTTTTAATTTTTTGTTAATAAATCAATAATAACTCAACAAATATGGTTGGAGAGATGTATACAACATTTATATTTTTTAGAGTGTATGAATTTATGAAGAAATTGTACATAAAGTCCACAAAGAAAAATATTTGCGAGAAATAGGAGGAGTTTATAAATACCTTTAAAATTAAATAATACAGTAAGATCGCTAATATAACGTTTATGTGGAAGGTAATATTGTCGCTTAATTATAAGAGGAAGAAATAAAGTAAAAAGTGTCGTTAAACGTGTATCTAGTCTCATCGTCGATCGCTGATCAAGGTTGCGGAAAATAGGCCACGATGATCGCGCTGTGTCTGTGATATTTAAGTTTTGCAGTTATCGTTCGTGCTCAGACAGATAACGTCTCGTAATTTGCTGGCATCCATATAATCAATGAGATTTTTCATGACCTATCCACAACGCAATTTTTTTTCTGTAACATCGCGGTACCTTTCACATGAGTGATGTTTTATTCGCTTCACCGGGAACGACATGAATTAATAGTTATTCACGCGCATTTATTCATTCATATTTATGGCAGCAGTATTTACCTGTATTTACGAGACACTTCCAGTATTCTTCTGAATAACATGAATAATTTTACAGTAGCAAAAAAATTAACTAAAGTTTTGAGTTACGATTTCCATAAAATTGTCAATTGCGACGTCTATAATTAACTTCTTGTAATCGCCGCATCACTTATTGTCCCATTCGTCGCTATGCGTAGGTTTTATGAAAGATATTAATTGTTCTGCGCCACAAGAATTTGCAAGTCGTGAATGGAATTTCTCTCTCTCTCTCTCTCTCTCTCTCTCTCTCTCTCTCTCTCTCTCTCAAGAGACTTTTTAATAATTATGTAAGGAAAATATAATTACGTAATGCAAAAATGAGTAAGCCAGTACCCACCTTAGTCGAAACCTTAGTATGAAACCGTTTATTAAAAGGCAGACACAAAAGAAAGGCATTTAATAATGAAAATGCAAATAGAAATTGCGCCTTCAGAAGTTACGAGATTATGAGAAATACAAGAACAAGAAAGAAATATATCTAAAGCTTAAAAAATTGGTTTCTTCAAAGGTTAAAGATTTTAAATTCTTTAAATTACTAAAGTTTAGAACATTAATTACTTAACTCACCCGTTACATGATCGAATGGCTCATACTGACCGCCCGCGGATCCATAGCTATCGAATGCACCGTCCTCGTTCGGATCGAAGTACTTTCTGCAAAGGCGAATGATTGAATTAAGTAGCATAATCGAATTTACGCGAAAGAAGCTGCTTAATAAGAACGCACCTTCCTCTAGTTCCGTCGATCGCTCTGCGTGACAGGAAGCTCCTCCTCGGAACTCCATGTTCAAGACTTCGCTGAACGATGCACAAAACCGTCGTCACGAGACCTGTACACGAAAGAGAGAATCTATGTATAAATCGCTTGCAAAAATAGCGAAAATTGCGCTGGAACGAATATTATAGATTTAAACTTTTAGAAGTGGCTTAAAAATACAAAATATAAACAATAAGAAGCATACAGCCACGGCACTAGATGTTTTTATAGAAAGTCATATATTTCAAATTATAATAAGGAAAAGTACTTTTCCTTATATAGAATTACAGATTGTGCAGTAGCCATTGAAAGAACTTTGTGATTCGTTTAAAATATATATTACAATTTAAAATTTAAAATTCTCTAACACCAGACTGGTTTTCATTTATTGTAGACTGTAATTTATCAGTGCTGTCCAGAATTTGTAATTCTGAGTATTGCCTTGTCATATATCAGCATTCATGTTTATTGCCTTCCTCTTTTTCAGTGGAGATAGAAATCTTGGATAGTACTAATTTAAACAATACTACCATCCAGCAAATATATTTATCGTGTTACAAATATATGTGTACATTGTTGGAAAATTTGTGTTAAATTTAACACCAATTTTCTAATGGTATATATTTACACTTGGAAAGAACAGTTTACTTTTAAAAGAGAGTTTCTAAAATATAACTATAAAAATAACTATAAAACTTATATATATGTATATATATATAAACTATTTAATAGAATGTTAAAACTTTTTACAGCATTCTCATCAACGTTTAAAATGTTATGTAATTATTTTGATTTTAAAAACATATTTTTAGACCTATATCTAGCTAAATTTTTAGATACTTCAACAAAACTATTCTTTCCGTGAAAACTATAATATATTATAATTCTAAAAGAATGTTTCAATGGAATCCAGTCAAGTTTCTTATTAGCAAAGGAAAATCTCGTTGTTTAACTTTGTTTTTATTCAGATAATGAGTTATAAGCCAACTCCTTGTTTCATTCTTGCGAAGCGTCGTAGCCGTAATAGAGCCGATCACTAAATATCGCTCGATTTTGATTTCGTAATGCGGCGTGGCGTGAAAGGTCGCTCGGGATGGAACATCTTCACGATCTTGTACTTTTGAGGCCACGTTAAAATTGAACTCGCGCTCTATGATCGTATTAAGCAAGGTATGGTATCTCTTAATTCACGATTGACCGTGAATGATCATCGATGTCACGACTCGGCAGTTGAGCCTAAGAAACTCGAATCTTCCATGAGGATTACACGAGTCTTACGTGGCCTCTTCGCTTGATTTATTGCGGCGAAAGAGTTCGATCCTATCTCATTATTCATATTTGCGCTTAAATGATCGATGCCGCATCCTTGTAGTATTGTCACGACGTTTCTTGCGAATAAGCAAAATCGTTCCCTTGAATCAGTAACTTGAGTCAGATGCTTTCTGTGGCATTTCGAAAAGCGAGAGATAATTGTCATCGCATTATATAACGTTATATACCGTTATATAATTATACAACATAATTTAATATTACGCAATATAGCACGATAATATGATTCGAGGGCTCTTGCTGATCATTTAGATGACGCCAATGAAATCACGTTTCTCTGGTTACAATGTGCAACTTTGTCTTCTCAACAATTCTCTTTACTGTAAGAACCGAATGGATGAAAACTTTAATTGCTATTAACTCGCATAGGATTGGATTTTCTTTACTAACAACTTGCGATTTAGAAGAGTCGAAGTCAAAACGTTGATTGCGATGCTTAGTTTGATAATGTACTATTACATGTCTGCCATATAAAGCTGTCGAAGCTTGATGTCCTCCGTAATTTCGTTGTCATTATCCATAGTCAGCAACATGTGAAATCTTTCGAAAGATCGACAGGCCGACAATATCCACTTTATAAAATGATGTTCTTAAACGCACGTGCTCCCTCATTGTGGCTGCCATTTTCAATGGCATTAAAAGGACGCAAAGGCCACGAGGAATTGGCACGACAAGGACCGGTGGTCGTGATAGAGCGAGCTTATTCGGTGTTACAAATCGCTTGATCTGCGAGAAATCGCCCGTGAATTTATTTTCTGCCTCACTTGTCGTGAAATTAATGATCAGATGATTCAAAAAGATATGTACACAGAACGACGCGACCTCCGAGAGAAAATGTCGAGTAACTTGCAATAACGGCAGAACGAGACGAGTAATTAGTGGCGTCAATTTCCGGTGGCGAAAGTGTCCCCGCAAACAACGCTTTTTTAATATTCGCATCGCTGAGAGACTCGAGATAAATCGGATTTCACGGTACCACTTCAAATAGTTCCCCGAATAAATTTAACTGCTGCTGACGACTTCTTGCGTCAAGCACTCGCGAATAAGATACCTTAAATTTATATCGAATTCACTTGCATTATTCTTAGTGCATATTAAAAGTTGCTATAATATACAGCAAAGTTAAATGTAAAAACAATTTAAACGATTAAATATACTGTAAAGGAATTACATGTAAAATTATAACAATTATATGGTGGACAATTTTGGGACTTATTATTACAAATGTATATACACACACGCGTAAAGTTGCGACATACAAATAAAATTATTATTCTTGAATTTATAAAAATATTAACAAAAGCAAGAATATACAGTTAATTACGTTAAGAGAGATAAATTAAATTTAATTATATTAATGTCTTAGAAATTCTATATTTCGTAATCTATAATTCTGTATTTTTTAACAAAAGTATTCGAATCAGGAAATTTTCATAAATTTGAGATGGACATGCTTCATCAAACAAATCTAGGTAATTCAGCGCATCCATGTTATATTATTAGCACCGTCACGAGCTACATACACGTCCAACATTTTAATCAAAGCGCCGACGTGATTCGCACGTGAGCAATAAAATTCTTCACGGCAATTGCTGCAATTTACACGGTGCATTTATAAACGCACACGTGAATGCGTCGAATTGTCGAAATCGTTGCAAAAAACGTAGTAATTTCGATGTGCGTAATACTTCGGTGTCATAGAGAGATTTAATTTATGAGCGACTACTCGATGTTCTTCTAGCATATTGCGTGAACGTCATCTCGAGTTTGTATGAATGGATCGTCACGGCGAAATGTGGATAAATGGTATTTTCTTAATTATAACTAGATCGTGGTCGACCAGTTCTCGTCAATGATTGATTAAGTTTGCTACCGATGCAAAAATGGCTGAGAAGAGGCTATCTTACGTTGCATAATATCCGCGAGTGTAATAGATAGAGAGGAAGAGAAGAGTAAAGATCTTCATAAATTAAATTCTTCATGAGCAGTATTATGAGAATACTTTATGACTTTAGTTTTCTCTCACGATTAGCCTCTGGTAATTTATTTATCCGATAGAATCTAATTGCAGCAACTAACAATATTTTCTTATTGTGTAATACTTTGTATATAAATATTTTAATTTTAAATTAACAGCTTCAGACTGAAATAATGTAAACACTAAAATCTTTGATCTCTCGATGGTTCATTTGAATAATAAGAAGGTTTTACCTTAAAACAATTTTTTATACAAAAGTTTCTAGATACTCGTTAATTCTTAATTCACAATTGTGATTAATTAACATGTTCGATAATAACTATGTGTTTAAGAATTAAAATGTAACGTTACTGGTAAAATATTTAATGAATTACATCAGTATTAAGTATTAGAATTTTTTATTATAAAATGATTTTTTTTTTTCTATAAAAATTAACATTTATTTTGTGAATATGTATATATATATAAAAATATCATATAAAGCATAAAAATGTTATGTCACAGTTTCACATCACACGATTATGATCGTCATAAGTTTTTACGAGTTCAACCTATCATCGATGTCGAGTCATCGAGTTCCCACCGAGATAATTGACTCACGATCTCCGGCTCTCGCTTTCATTATTTCACCGTCGCTGTCTGTTGTGATCGGCATGTCGTTAAAAAATTATTCAATCCTGATCGATGAAAGCCCGGTGCGTCAATTAACATACATAGCCCGGTTGTCTTACCTGCTTGTGGCGATAAATTAACACGTGGTCAAAATAAACGAGAAGCGAGAGATTGAACACTGTCACTCGTATGATCGACACATGATAGAGCCGATCGCTGGGAGGATGATTTAAATCCAGGTTCCCAGCACATGCAACGGGACACACGTGCGAACATTGGCACTTACACAGAATACGCAGGTTAATTTTCGGCATTTTGTTCGGTGTCGCATGGGCGTTTTATGGCGGACGGGGGCTCCGATTACTCTCGTCCACCGTGAAAAGCGACGGCTGATGCACTGCGTACCTCGACGCGATCACCTCGACTCGGCTCAGCTCTCGTCGGGCTCTTCCTCTCGATCGGGGCCCGTCCGTCGCCGCGTCTCCTCGCCGGCCGGCGCGGTAGGGATTCCTGATCGTGGGACCTCTTACCTTTCTTCTCGTGGGGTCCTCTCACCTGCGCGTATCTACGAGCCGGGCCATCCCCCGCGTGAGGTGGAATTCCGCGCGGGTCGCGCCTCTCGCCGGAATCTCTCCGTATGCGTGGAAAATCCAACATCCTCGCTTCTCCGTTTAGATTGTTTAGAAGATTAGTTGATCATCTCAGTCGATACGGATTATAGATTTTCCCTGTTGCCAGATAATCCAGCATCTGTAATTAGTTAAACCGAATATTAAATAAAAAAAAGTTATTTACAATGTTTTAAAGGTGATTATTAATCACTAATCAATAATATTAAATTGCTTGTCCATTTAATTTATATTACATACTCCAGTTTTAGTCTGAAACTGTATTTCAAGATCGATGAGTAATCGATGCGCAGTTTGCTCAAATTGAAAATTGTAAAAGTTCAAACAAAAATATTGTTAGATACCAAGATCCATCTTGAATGGTCCTCTTGATACACTTTCATTTATATTAAACCAATTAATCCTAAATAGTACTCTGAAATTTTGGGAATTCTGTGTACCCGACAGAACTAATGCATCTTTGTTTAAAATTAATGTAATTGAATTTCTTTTATCTTGAAGGTTAAAATCTTCTTTAGGAATAAGATTATGTAACTTAAAATTATATAAGATTATGAAAAAAGTTTATTACGAATTTTTCACAAGCTATTTGGAGTAATTGAAAAAACAAATGTCATTGGACCTGGGAGTACCAATTAGGATTAAGAATGTGATTACCTAGTAAACATCAACTAACAATAACACAACATCAATGTTAATTTCACACTTAACAATATAAATGTAACACATGTTGTGCGTAACAATTATATTGTTGAGCGTGAAAACATTGATGTTATGTTACTGTTACTTTGAGCTTATTGGATATCTAGAAACTTCAGTTAGGACCATCTGTTGCTGCTAACCGAGAGCCTATTAGTCGAGCATTTACACGTATTAGACGAGTGTTCCGGCATTTAGCGAATAATTGCTCGTACATTACTCAAAATTGCAGGTAATATGCAAATGAAGATAATCCTCGTTTCAAAGAATATTGAAATCACTCGGTCCTTGAGACGTAGAAAGCGACGTTGTACCACACGCTCCATCCGTGAGGGATTAATCCGGTACGTGTAGAAGGCTACGTATAATCGAAGTAAGGCGACACATTATATAAGTTCGATGACATTGCCTCGGTTCGCGGCGTACACACGTGACCGTTTTCGCCTTTTGCATAACCGACGATCTCGTCTCTCCCACCTTCGGCTTTTCTCTCGGGAGAGTGACCACAGCTGCTGTAAGTCATACGCCATTTTCACCTGGTGTGTGCGATTTTTCGAGGCCGCGGATCACCTCTCGCTTGTGTGAGTGTTATAACGGGTTGGCGATCGGTATCTTAATTAAGAGCAAACACTCGCGTGGCCCCCTGGAGCGTGGTTTTTTGTTTAATTAAATTTTTTTTATGGCAGGAGGGAGGGACGTTTTGTGACGTTGCGTGGCAGACCGCAAGCCATTACGTTAAAATTAGAGCCTTACTTTCGTCGACATGCGCGAGACATTACGCGTGCCAGAGATTACAGAGAATTGGATATTATAGTATACGAGGTACATAGAGTGTCGCAGAACTTTGTATGATAGAGTTGATGCTTGACCTTGTAGATCTAACTATAACGCGTTTAAAGAAATTATTTAAAATTTAACTTAAGAAATAATACAATATATAAAAATCGCGATTATTCTTGGTGTTTTTAAATTATAAATATTATTGACTCATTACTTTTGCCAAATACACCCTGTACATTTAACCCTTACCGTACTAATATGGGTAACTAGTGACCGAGCGATTCCTGTTCGTGCAAGTTTCTTTGAGTCTTTCGGTAATTATAAATTATACTACATTTTATTATTTTCCAAAATAAAGAGTCAATATTTATTCTAGAAAGTTGAAAGTATGTTGGTGAAAATTTTTAGAGATTTTTTGAATTATTTTGAAAAGAGGTGAAAAAATGAAGAGATTTAAAGTGACCCTTGATGAATGAAGCACCAAATTGTAGATGGTACGATAAGGGTTAATTTAATTTAATTTAATTTGATTTAATTTAATTTAATTTAATTTTTTTTTACCGTTCTAATAATTTTCACCGATACTCATTTCGTTTCGCGATCTCAAATGTGCAGATGCGTGAGTCGTAATAGAGCGTGAATCCGTGCCTACCGCGGAACGTTACGTGAAGCCGGTCAGTGGGTACGCATTACATTCTCACGTAACAACGGTGGGATGCTGCTGGAACGAGCGGACTGCGATGCCCGCGCTCTCGCTTTCGTCCCTTTCCCTGCTTCTCATCTTCGTCGAATGGCTTACAACAACGGCAAACGCAACCATTTACGACGTCGCCGCTGCCGTTACCGCGCTTTCATGCAGAACGGTACCGTTCGCGCGAGTTGCGTTCGCTCTAATGGCGAACGACGATTGGCAAAAAGATTCATCTTGCGTCATGTTGCTCTCGCGGTACACGTTATTCGCGGTAACATTCGAAACGCATTCGTCTACAAAGCGCTAACCTGCCGCTCCTCAAAGAGTTTCGTGATTTTTCAGGGAAACTTTGGCCACGAAGGAAAGTTTGATGGTCTTACGTTTGTAACACGTTTGCTCGCTTTCAGTACAATTATTTCCTATGAATATCATTTATTAACATAAAATCGGCGTATTTGAAAAGATAGAATGGAACTTTGGAATTAAAATTAATCTTAGTAGTCGAATATTTGATATTTAACTTTTAAAAAGCAGAGGTCTATTTTTTAAATCTTATAGCTTTTCTTTGAATAAAATTTATTATAATTCATTGTATTTCTTGTTTCGATCAAGATACGGCGCTGTTTTAGCATCTCTATAGTGGCTCTTTCCCATATTGTAAAGGTTAAATGTACATTGTTAAATTTTAAAAGATCAAGGATTACTACACTGAGGAAAAAATAACCTAAATTTCAGTGAATATTTATTTGAATGGTACCAAATAAATATTTATTAAATATAAAAATATATTTATTTGGTATAAAAAAACATTAATTCGATTTAATAATTACTTCTTTTTTTATTAAGTAAATATTTATTTATTGTAAGTAAATGTTTAGTTGGCAGTATTCAAATAAATATTTATTTAAATTTAGGCTATTTTTTCTCATTGTCAGCGTCAACTTTAATATATTTCAAGCGTACAAACCATGTAGTTTAAAAAAATCTACACCACACATCTAATCAATTTCTGCGGTTGAATTGCTTAATTTCAAAGTAAACGACGTTTATATTAAGTTAGTAAATAATAACTAATTTTAAGTCAAATTTAATACTTTTTTAAAATAAATTGTTTAACCTTATTGTTTTATTTAACTTATACTTAACGACATATTGAGTAGGAGTAGTTTATAGGAATAATTAAAAATTACTTAAATTGTATATAATTTGACATTACGAATTTAACAGTATAAGTATGTTGAAGCTTATTGTTTAAACGACTCATTGTTATCATCATGCGTTGCAAATCAAACAAGCTTGTTGCGAGAAGGAAGAAATATATTAGAAAGGCCAGATGCATTCAAGTATTCCCGAGTTCTTTGTTCAACCGAGAAAAGTCCATACAGGGATATAGATCACACAGGACATTGTGTCGTGACATTAACGGAATTGCAATCGATGAAGAATTTAGACGAGGTAGCCGCGTTTAATAGCTGACGAGATATTAAAGCCTCGGGAAACAGAAGACATTAAAATACCTTCATGAAAAAGGCAATTTTCTTATTCTGTAAAATAATCAAGTAGTCACATTCAACGATATGCAGCGAAAGGCAAAGGAAGAAATTCTGTCGTCAAGGATGGCAATAGATTGCCTGAGATCGTCAAAGATGAAATTTAATAACGTTTGGTAGCATCCGCAGAATAACGGTTTGTTTATGCAAATCAAAAAGACACCGGTATTTTGCTCGCGCAAGTATTATTGACTTTCATCGGCGTGACCCTGTTTGTAACTTGCGTATATATGGATGCAGCATGAAAGAGAAGTTGCATGCTGGGGACTTTCTTCGTTGAGAAATCGTAAGTAAACCGAAAGCAAAATATCATCGCGAACGCGCAACTTTTCTTTTGCATTTCGATCCTGCATCGGTCCTAAGAAATTGTATAATCGCGTATATTACTATTATTATTATTATGAGATGGCACTTAAATTTATAAGACATCGATGGAGAGTGTCACATTTAAGGTTAACAATGAAACGAAAATGTCATGATAGTTCTAACTACGTCGCTTAGCTAATCACTTAAAATGATAAATTTTTCCGCATTATAATTTATACCCGTACACTTAGAGAAAAAGACATAGCAGTAAAAACTAAAGATGACAATTATACAAATTTAAGTAAAATTAATGTACATAATTAAATATTCTACTCTCGCAAGATCGCTCAAATTTCGCTGAATCTCACTTTTTTAAATAAACTATTTTATGAATATTACAATTATAAGATATATATATATATGTATATAATTTATTCAACTGTGTACATTAATCCTACATATAAAATTTGTATAGTATATCACTGTTTTTGTCTGAGTGTAAAACAATCATGAAAATTACATTGATACTTATTTTTTAAAGAAATATATATAATTGAACTACTTTCTGTGTCCACAAGTATAAGTATTCAGTGGTCATTTGTTTATGCAGTAACTCGGTGAAAAGATTATCATGGACATTGCGAAAAAAAGTGAGATTTAGCGAAATTTGAGCGATCTTGCGAGAGTAGAATATTTGCACAGATTACAATCGAGTAGATGCGTTCACGGTACGTAAGTATCTTAATAAGTTGCGATGAATCGAGAAGCACGTAATGATCCATCGGATAATTTCACCGTGATCCGATAATTATCGATACCATTACGAGACTTT